ATGTGAGGGATGGTCCAGTCCAAAGGTTACTGAGTGAGAGTCCCCTGTTACTTCAGAATCTTCGTACATCTTACTTAGGAAATAAAGCTGGCCCATAGCCAAAGCCAACAGGCCCTGTTACTCTGTATTCTGGGAAGCCAGATACTTTCCCTATAGGGTTTACTAAAGGAAGCAGAACTGGCCCTAGATCCGCTAGCCAAAACCCTGATTTTCTCTTTCTTACCCATATAACAATCTTGGGGAAGGAAGGTCTTTGGTTTTATTGAGGAGTACAGTGTTTGTAGTGGGAGGCAATTTTCCCCTTCCCAACTAAAGGGGGGCAGGTTTGAGGAGAGTCCCTCATGGAGATTGAGAGGTGACTGCAAGAGTGGGGTGCTGTTGCCAGATGGGGAACGGACAGTGGGTAATGGACTGTGCCTGTCTGAGTAGGAAGAAGAGAAGGGGGAAAGGAGGGTGCTGTGGAGTAGCTCTGGGTCACCGGGACACTGCCGTGATTAGACTGGCCGGAGCTAATGCTTGGTGTCCCATCCAAGCATGCTGACTGCTGGGCAACAGGGTCTCATCAGGACCCAGGTGGTGGGGTGAGGTAGAAAAGGCCAAGCCCGAGTTGGGTGCCCTTTGCCAGAGAGCTGTGCTGGGAAACCCCCCCCTCCCCCCGGCCAAGGGACTTACTTATGTGCCCCATGAGAAACAATATGTGGGCATTTGCCACTTTAAGTAGTCAGGGAAGGAGGGTCAACCGACAGAGAGGCCAACAGCAGAGGCCAGAAACAGGCAGGGATATTTGCCCTGCCCTACTTCCTCCCTCCATTTCAACAAGGGGGAAGGTGCTAAGGCGTGTCTCCCAACTAGGCCATCCCTTCCTCTGCCCCTAAGTTCTTTTATTCCTAGCAAGCAGGGTCTGGGCTCAAGTCAATCCTTGGATAAGTAAAGGAGAAGATAAAATGAGATTTAAATTGAGTTTGAGAATAAAGCTTTAAGGGATGGAGGTTTAACAACAGAGTGATCCAAAAGTAATGCAATCTGCCCACTATGTCATTAAGGGATGGGAAAAGGAGATTCAACACAGCATGGCTGAAGGCAGAGATTAGGGGGATAACCCTTCATCATTATGCCCCATGGAGCTGAGTCGCCTCAATACACCGGCTCCACAAGTAAACAGAATAAATGAAATACAGTGTGGTTGGCCTGGAGTCTTGCTTAGGTAGGCAGTCCCCAGGGTTCTGAGAGAGGGGGCAAGGCAGGTATGAACATCCAGGCTGTCTGCTGGAGAGGGCTTTCAGAGGAGGGGTGCCCAAGCTGAGCCCGGAAGGATGAGGAGGTTGAAAGGAGAGGGGAAGGACAGCTTTCCAGGCAGAGGTGACAGCACAGTACATGTGGGGAGTGGGGCTAGAACATCACACAGAAGGCAGGAAGGATAGTTAGAGATGTAGGCCAGGAAGCCCATGGCCTTCCAGCACCGTGAGCTGAAGGTGTGAGAGCCCTGGGGAGTCTTCAAATCTGGAAGCAACACAACTGGGTTTATCACCAGCTTCTGGCAACACTGGGGACACTGGACCTCAAGGCATGTTTCTCACCCATTCACCTGGTCTGGTGACCCACACCCCTACAAAGGCCATTTTCTCTCTAGTTCCAAAATCCTGAGTCCTCACTCTTTTGAATGTCCTTTGCCCTGATCCTTTCTGAACCCTTCATGGTTTCCCCCTTTGTGGGGACTCTGAATGCCACCATCCTCCCCTTAAATCGTCTTGCTTTCATCCTCCAACCTACTCCTCTCAGCCCTACAGCCCGCCAGCACATGTCTCCTCGGGATATGTATGTACTAAAATATCTTCCCTTTATCTTATCTGGTCTTCACCCCATGGGGCAACCCAAAGACTCCTATTTATTCTTTCACACATTAATTTAGGCTGCCTTAATTGCTGCTATGATATGTTTTATATAATATAATTAATGTTTTAATTCTGTGTACTTGCTTCCCCAGGCAGTTTTGTGAAAGGCCCAATTTTGGAATCAAGCAAATAAAGAATAAGTAATGGCTGAAGTTATTATAGTAACGCCCCCATCCCAAAGGAATTAAAACTGTACTTGTTTTTTTTCTTTTCAAAGTGGGTTATAAAGGGAAAAGATATTTTAACCTTCTGAGAATATTTAAAAGATAATTTAAACATTCTGGGCATGTCTGGGTGGTTTTAATGACATTCCCTGGATCCTGATTTCAAGGGCTTCTGGCCTTTTGGTATCTGACCACTGCGCTGTCTCTTCTGCCCAAGGGACCACTGCAGCTTGAGCCATGTGTTGACACTACCAGCTTTGCACTCCCCAACTCTTTTTTATTTTATTATTTTGAGACACAGCCTCATCCCATTGCCCTGGGTAGAGTGCTGTGGTGTCATCACAGCTCACAGCAACCTCAGATTCTTGGACTCAAGTGAT